AAAAAAGATAACATGAGCGGGCAGGTCAGAATCAAAGAATGGCTGTTTGTCGCCAAGCTTGTCTTTGTGGATAAAATGTCTCAATTATGGGATACTGTGAAGATGGTTTTATTTTGAAGCACATACACCAACAGACACTAAGGGAAATGTTAACTGCTGGAACCCTTGGGGTGACCTCTTTTCGTGGATAGATGAGGATGCTTATGATTCACAGGGCGATTTATGTGTCAGTGGACGTATCTGAAACGTGTGTGTTTCGAGGGTACTTGCAAAGATTTCCTTTCATTACTTTCTAAGCATCGTCTCTACAATCTTGTTTACATTATCTTTTTTTTTTATTTATTTTTTTTATTGAGTTTATTGGTACATTTAGGGATACAGTACAGTTACATTCATTGTTGGGATCATGTACCTTTACATGGCAAGTCTTGATTCTCATTTTTTTCCCCTTACCTCTGCCCTCCCTTCACCCCCTCCTCCCCTCCCCATCTACAAACACTTTATTTTCATCTTTTCATTCTCTCACATTTTTTTCTTTTCCCTTTTTGTTCTTCCCCTACGTATCACACCTTCCCTACACCTTTAGCTCCTTTCCTCCCATTTCTAAATGTCAGTAATCTTATTAGAATCTTATGCATTGTTGCAGAATATTCACACCAGGGAAACTATTCGGTATTTACGCATGTGTGACGTATTTATTTCACTTAGGAGTATATCTTCAATATGTATCCATTTTCCTATGAATGAATCTATTCTCTCGCTCTTTATGGCTGAGTAATATTCCATTTTATAGAAAAACCACAACTTCTTTATCCAGTTTCCAACGGATGGGCAAATAGGTTGTTTCCAAGATTTAGCTATTACAAACTGTGCCGCTATAAACATGGGTGCTCATACTTCTCTGTGATATGATTCTTTTAGTTCTCTTGGAAAGATACCCAGCAGAGGGATGGCTGGGTCAAATGGAACCTCCAGTCCAAGCTCTTTGAGGTATCTCCATATTGATTTCCATAGTGGTTGCACTAGTCTGCACTCCCACCAACAATGGAGGAGGGTTCCTTTCTCCCCACAACCCCGCCAACATTTGTTATTGTGTGATTTCTTGATAGCAGCCCTTCTTTGTGGGGTGAGGTGGAATCTTAGTGTTGTTTTCATCTGCATCTCTCGAATGACCAGTGATGTGGAACATTTTTTCATATATTTTCTTGCTGCTTTCACTTCTTTGTATGAGAAATGTCTGTTCATTTCGGATGCCCATTTTTGGATCGGGTCTTTATATTTGGGGGGACTGATTGTTTTGAGTTCTTTATATATCCTTGATAATAGTCCTTTGTCTGAGGTACAGCTGGTAAAAATTTTTTCCCACATTGTAGATTGTCTCTTAGTTCTGCTAATGGTTTCTTTTGAAGTACAGAAGCTTTTTAGTAAAATGAGATCCCAGTTGTTGATTCTTTCTGCTAGTTCCCGTGCTACTGAGGATTTGTTCATAAAGTCTTTTCCTATACCAATGTCTTCCAGAGTTCTGCCTAACTTACTTTCCAGCAAGTTTAATGTTTCTGTTTTAATATTTAGATCTTTAATCCATTTGGATTTTAATTTAGTGCATGGCGAAAGATAAGGGTCTAATTTTAATCTGTGACAGGTTGATATCCAGTTTTTCCAACACCATTTATTAAAGAGGCTATCTTTCCTCCACTGAGGATGGTGAGCTCCTTTGTCGAAGATGAGGTAGCTGAGTACATCTGCATTTGTTTTTGTGTCTTCCAGTCTGTTCCATTGATCCTCAGGCCTATTTCTTTGCCAGTACCATGCTGATTTTATCACAGTGGCTTTGTAGTATAGTTTCAAATTGGGAATTGTTACACCTGGTGCCATGTGACTGTTGCCTATAATGGCTTTTGCTATTCTAGGTCTCTTGTGGTTCCAAATGAATTTTTGGATTCTTTTTTCTAGTTCTGTGAAATATAGTGTTGGAATTTCAATTGGCATTGCATTGAATGTATATAGCAGTTTCGGTAGTATGGCCTATTTCACTATGTTGATTCTTCCTACCCAGGAGCAGGGGATATCTTTCCATTTTTTTATATCCTCTTCGATTTCTTTTTTCAGAGTGCTGTAGTTTTCAGTGTAGAGATCTTTTGTTTCTTTTGTTAGATTGATTCCTAGATACTTCATTTTTTTGGATGCTATTGTAAAAGGAATTTTTTCCCTTATTTCTCTTTCTGTCTGTCTGTTATTTGTGTATAGAAAGGCTATTGATTTTTGGGTATTCACCTTGTATCCAGATACTTTACTGAATCTGTCAATTAAGTCTAGAACTTTTTTGGTGGAGTTTTTTGGATCTTCAATGTAGAGTATCATATCATCAGCAAATAATGATAGTTTAACTTCTTCCTTTCCTATCTTTATTGCTTTAATACATTATCTTTAATCGTAGCAAACAAGTAACAAATCGTGTCGTGTGCCATGACATACCATTGTCACACAGAGCAGACTTTTGTCTAGTGTGGGAGGGGCTCTGAATGCTCTGCTCACTCACGTGACCGTGGGCCGGACATTTCAAGTTCTTGCTGCTTATGCGGCAGTCACCCCAGAGTGAATGATCTGGGGAGCAAGAACAAAAGCCTCCTCGCCTTCCCCATGACGTACTGTAAAGAACAACTCTGACACAACAGGAGAAGCTACTGCAGAAAGGCATGGATACCAGAAGGTGGGCAAATTGGGGAGCACTTTGAGGGCGGCCACTCCACTTGACATGTGATGTGCACTTAGCTTGTCAGAGGCTGTCTTCCTAGAAATGAAACTTTGAGCAGAACGATAGACACATATGATGGAAATACTCAGATGGAGTCACAAGTGTGGCTTCACTCAACAGTAGGCTCAGTTTTGGTCCTGAAAATTGCTGATCATCTTCCACTAAATTCTCTTTACATTAAATTAGCTCAAATCAGTTTCTGTTGTTGTAACACAAGACTCCTAACTGATAAAAAATAACTGCAATGTAAGTTAAACTTAAAAGCATGTACAATGCCAAACCTATTTATTTATGTAATTTATGGAAGCCAGGTTTGCCCTTATTGGCAATGGGAGATACAAATATAGAATTGAAAGAGTAGCTAGACCTTGAAGTGCTAGATTAAAATTGAAGACATCAGGCAGGGGCATGGGGAAAAAATGAGAACCAAGACCTGTCATGGAAAGGTACAAGATCCCATTGATGAATGTAACTACTGTATACCTGAAATGTACCAATAAACTCGATGAGAAAAAAAAAATGAAGACATCAGCTTGGATTCATGTGGTACACATTCAAATCACTGCACTGTAGCAATGAGGAAGGCAGCGTACTGAGACTTGGTTTCTATATCTGATGCCCTTCTACCAGAAATAAAGTCTCCCTGGAGAAACGACAGAGACAGGAAAAGCACAGGTTATACCTGGAAGAACTTGTGGGCTAGAAACTTAGTAGATTCCCAAAGAATGATAAGGGTATGTCAGAGACTCAGTATGCAAAGTATGAAAGGCATCTTCCTGTCCAGACTTGAAATAATGTGAACATTAATAGAGACTCAGTCTTACAATAATATTAAGATTCAGGTGGAAATCATCAAAAGATACTAAACTACTGGATAAAATGTTGATGAATGATGAAATAGTTACAGTATCTCTATGTATCTTCTTTCAAATACATATTTATTATAAAAGGAAAGAAATAGAAGAGTGAAAAAGGCTGCCAGATACCATCTTCATCATGTGATTCAAGCTAATAGCACTGAAAATGGGACAAAGGGACATCGTGTGCTTCCTGATATGATGCACTGATAATACAGTGCTCAAAATGCATGAATTTAATTTAATCAAAGTGAAGCAGGACACAAACCATTTTGAAGGACATTGTATAAAATAACTGGCATGTACTCTTTAAAATGTTAAGGTCAAGAAAAAGATTGAAGAATAGATTCTGATTGAAGAAGGCTAATGAGACACAGCAACTGAATGCGTTGCATGCTCCTGGGTTGGAGCCTGAGAGGGGAGAGATAGTTATACTATACAGGCTACCTTTGAGACAACTGGCAAGATTTGACTATAGAGGGCAGATTGTACACTGGCAGTGTATCGTACAAAATTTTCTGACTGCAGTAATTATATGAGAGTTCCACTTTTAGAAATACGGGAATATTTAGGAGTAAGCGGATATCATGTCTACAACTTTCTCTCAAAATGGCTCACAGAAATACCTGACAGAGTGATAGGGACAGCAGATAGGGCCAAATGTTAAGTAGTGAGTCTGGATGTAAGGTCATTAATTTAAACAAATTGCTGTAGATTCAGCATCTTATCTCTGAAGGTCAAGAGTCTGGCCCAGCATGGCTGGATTCTCAGAGTAGGGTGTCACACTAAGTGAAAATCAAAATATTAGCAGATGTTTCTGGAAGATCCTTGGAAAAACAGCTTTCAACTTCATGGTGCCCATTGGCTGAATTCACTTCCTTGTAGTTGTGGGACTGAGTTCTCCAATTCCTTGACAGGGGTCTAGCTCTATCTTCAAGCCAGCGATGGTCCTGCAGACCACCTGCAAAGAGACACACATTCCTAATTGATACTGTCAGTATCTCTGCTTTAAAGAATTCATGAGATCATATTAGCTCCACCTCAGTAATCTAAGTTACACTCTCTCTCTCCAAACCAACCAATTAATAATCTTAATCACATTGCAAAATGCCTTGTGTCATTTAATGTAACATAACCGTGGGTGTAACCTTAGGAGCTGGGAGTCCTGGAGGCCAAATATCTGCATTCTATAGGGTCAGAGTTATTTTCTGCATTCTTCTTACTACTTTTCTAGAAAATTTAAATTACATCAAAATAAAATGTTAAGAAGATTCATAAGTATACCGCAACAAATTGGAGAAAATGTAGTCATTGCATTATTTATGTTCCCAGTGGTTTCATTTTCTCCTAACAGCCCAAGTCTGTTTTTCTCCCTCATTACCTACCAGGCCATCACCACATCAAGCAAGGCACCTGTGAGGTGGTCGCAGTGCACCGATGCTGCAATACGAATCGGATTGAAGAGCGCTCACAGACAGTCAAGTGCTCGTGCTTCCCGGGTCAGGTCGCAGGCACAACTCGAGCTCAGCCTTCCTGCGTTGAAGGTAAGACCTTTCTGTCCAGTTTCTCCAGTATTCCTAGAAGGCCTGCAACTCCGAAGACCTTGCCTGCCTTACAGTCTTTGCTATCCTTAGAAACTTCAGGTGCTTTAAGGTCAGTCAGTGTCAATCCAAAAGTGAACCTAACTCCGAAGCCAGCCATGTCTTGATGAGCAAGGTAAATATTTTGTGATGTTTCTCAGGAGATCCCATTACAGGGCTCCTGGAAAGTGGGGGATCCCATTACAGGGCTCCTGGAAAGATGTGTTTCACTGCCTCCTTGGTCCTTTGTCTCCAAATCTCATCCGGCAAAGCTGTTGTCTCCCCAGATTCACTCTTCCCCCCTTCTTTATGCATTTGTCCCTCAGCAGCCTTGGGGGGTTGGTTCTTGGATCCTCCATAGATAGCCAAATCTGGAGATGCTTAGGTCCTTTATATAAAAAGACATGGTCTTTGCATATAACCTATGCATAACCTCTTGTATATATTTTTTTAAATCTCCAGGTTAATTGTAATACCCAGCATAGTGTAAATACTATATGAAAAGTTGTGTCATGTTGTTTAGGGAACAATGACAAAAATGTCTGCACATTCAGAGAGGGTGCTCTTTTGAAAATGTATTTTCTCCTGTGTCACTTGAGACTGTGGATGCTGAACCCATGAGAAAAGGGGGGCTGATTGTACTGTGCACCTAACATCAGCAGTCTGGCCTTTCCTCCTCATGCTTAGTGTTATAGCATGATTTTTTCTATTATTCCTGGTTTATTATTTTAACAACGATTTATAAATCATCTTTGGAGCAGTTTCCCTGAGAGAGATCATGTATCATTAAATAGACCCTAAGTCCCCTAGCAGATCACCATGGTTAAAAACATGAGTGAATGTTGATAGTTGAAGGTGGAGGCCTAGGACGGATTCCTTTTGGCATCCCTGGCTTCTTCCAGTCAGCATCTTGTTAGAAAGGAGCATCTGTCCCTAGGGGAGCAGATGCATGGGTTATCCCTACAGTAGCTGCTTTACCATATAGATTCTGAGAAAACTCCCTTAGGGGAACCACTCACAGCCTCCTGCATCTCATGGGTGCAGCTCATGGATGCATGTCTGTCAGCAGTTAAAACACAAAGAGACACACAGTCCTAACTCCGGATCTTATGACTGATCGTACAAATACAGTGGATTTACAACCTGCCTCCCCTGCCAAGCACACATTTCCGGGCCCTGTGGTCCTAGTGGTGTGTATCAGCACCTTCCCAGTTGCCTTTTTTTTTTATTTTATTTTTTTAATTTTATTGAGTTTATTGGTACATTTAGGGATACAGTACAGTTACATTCATTGTTGGGATCATGTATCTTTACATGGCAAGTCTTGATTCTCATTTTTTCCCCTTACCTCTGACCTCCCTTCACCCCCTCCTCCCCTCCCCATCTACAAACACTTTATTTTCATCTTTTCATTCTCTCACATTTTTTTCTTTTCCCTTTTTGTTCTTCCCCTACGCATCACACCTTCCCTACACCTTTAGCTCCTTTCTTCCCATTTCTAAATGTCAGTAATCTTA